TGTCGTAAATTTCAGTACCGTGTGAAAGAAGATTAGCTGGTCAAACGACAGCTACAGGATCCGACGGATAATTTGTCGCCATTTTATATTTTTAATTTTGTTCATACGCGTTATTTGTTTTTGATTATGTCGACTACACAGTATAGTAGGGTCAGTTGGGCACCGGTCTGTGAGAAAAAGATCATCATGACGTAATTCACTCCGCTAGAAATTTGGAAACGGCATACTGTACTGCTTGGCATTCGCGCCAGAAGCTCCAATATGAACATTTCAAAATGTGTGGGTTTCAATCTGAGGACAGTGCAGAGTTTGTTGTGTCGCTAAAAGATGTACCGAGGGTGATTAAAACCAAATACCCAGTCAACATCGAGGTGTTTGATGTGATCACTAGTTATGATGACGTTATGCGTCCATCCATCTCCACGCAGGACTCAAACTCAACACCTGGGCCTACATTAAATGACTTGAGGAGGTAGTGCTGCCCTGGGTCAAGAGGGCGGCTGCTGGAATATCCTATGTCAGGCAAGATGACACTGCACCTTGCCAAACAAGCAGAAGAATCCAGTCCGTGGCTGACAATTTCTGTGATTACATCACCGCTTATATTTGGCCACCTAACTCTGTAACCCCTTTGATTCTTATGCGTGATGAGCAGTTGAGCGAGAGAGAGAATAAAACTCATTGTAACAACAAAGATGAACTGAAAGCACTTATTAAGACAGCATTCACCAAATTAAACAAGGAGACCGTCCAGAAGAGATGCAGGAGATTTTTAAGTCGTCTAGAAGCTGTGGTTGAATTCAATAGCGATTTTATTGACCAAGTTTACTCTTTAATATTTCATGATATTTTTTTCTGCAATTTTCAGAAATATATCTATTAAAATGAGATATCAGTGGAATTTTCATTTTCGCGTCATTTCGACGACAATTTATCCATCGCATCCTTTATAGAAAAATTCTCTGAACTTTTGTCCCCACCCATTCATTTATTTATATTATTTACATTCAGATTAATTTTTTTTTTTATCACAGCGGTTCGGCTGTTGTGAAGTCCGACCTCCTTCTTGTTTTCGTCGATCTTCTTAACCTTCCGAGACTTTTTACCTGAATCCTCCATGTTCATATCTGTTATTTTTTATCTTTTTTCGTTACTTCTTAGTTATTGTTCATCCTGATTCCCCTGTAGTTTGTCCTACACGAATTCCAACGCTTTTATCAAACTCCTGGGTAATAGTGTAACAATAAGAACAAAATCAAGAATGTTAAATCCAAAATTAAATAATGTAAGTCATGTTAATTCCTCGTTATTCTTTTTTTGTTTGTTTTTGGAACGAATCATTCCTTAATCATGTATGTCTTCAGATTTCGGTTCCACGCTTTCTGTAGAATGTTATAATGTTACCGATTAACTTTCTTTCCATCCTCATATTTCTCAATAATAAAACTATTTTGAATAGTCCGACATTGTCCTTGATAAATGGATGATATATACTTAGGTTATTGAAATTGGCAGTTAATTTCAAATTTCATGCGTAAATAGATGAACAGAAAGATATTAAGTTTACAAGAGATAACAATTTGAATTTTAACAGCAAAACATCGTTAAGATTCATAAAAAAATCTATTACTTTCGTTTCTGAATTAAATATCACACGTAGCCTATATACGAAGTTATAGAATTGTTAAATGTAATTTGATAAAAATGGAAATGAATGAATATAAATATCAAGAAAAACGAAAGAGAAAAAAAGTGATTATTTTGTGAAAAATGAACCAATGCTGTTTTCAAAGTTGTATATTTAAATATCTTTTATTAAAATATTTAGATAAAATGTGTGGGTTTCGTGTGAATACAATTTGTGTGAATATAATTCAACAAAGAGAATAAGACGCCATTGCTATAAAAAGAACTACTTAAGCTATAAGGAAAACTCGGCTTAAGTGGGAAAGATATTCGAATAATCTGTAATATTTACTGGGAACAAACCGTCTGCATACGGAACGAAAATGAGTTGATCAAGTACACAAAAAAGAATGCCGAGTAAGAAAACCATACATTTTATCGCTGGATTTATTTAAAATATATTTTGAAACGAGGTTAAAAACTAGATTGACTCTGCTGACTGTGAACTCAGAAGATAAATTGTAAAACTTCCAATACAAGGTAGATAAGGAAAGCGAGAAGAAAGAATTGTAGCGGGTGTGTTTTTGGTGTTCCGGTTAAGTATTTAGAAATTCTTCATAAAATATAAATGAGAATCTGCAATTTTCTTAGTCATCTCCTGGCATTCTATTTGCCATGTCCCTTCAAGATGTTGGCGATCATGGCCCTCCACAATTTCTTTCCCATTGTAGATTTTATTAAATTTTATCTTTTTACTATTTCTCCCAAATCCTGTCCTGTCATCCAGTTATGCAAGCTCGTTAGGTAGGATAAGCTCTGTCTTCATCTCAAAATAATCAGCTGCTGATGTAGAGCCATTCCTCACTTAACAGCCGGGTTCTGTTTCAGTTTCATGGCCTCTAATCCAGATCATCTGGTCTGGTGACCTGCTATATATTTAGAGATTCTTGATAAAGTCTAATAAAGAATCTATATTGTTATTATTCCTGAACCTGACATCAATCACTTTCCCAAAGTCATAACGTAGCTCTCCTGTGCCTTTTCTAGAAATAATTTCAATGTAATTGTTACGATGAATTGTGTTGTATCTAGACTTTATGAATTTAAGCACAGTACTAGATTGACGGCAAGGTCCTCATCATTTTACAGTTGAAATGGCTAGATATAACCGTAAGTTCTATGCTAACAGTTTCTTCTCTCTCACGGTATTACATCCACGGCCTTATAGATTGGCGGCAAGGTCTCATCATTTTACAGTTGAAATGGCTAGATGTAACCGTAAGTTCTATGCTAACAGTTTCTTCTCTCTCACGGTATTACATCCACGGCCTTATAGATTGGCGGCAAGGTCCTCATCATTTTACAGTTGAAATGGCTAGATGTAACCGTAAGTTCTATGCTAACAGTTTCTTCTCTCTCACGGTATTACATCCACGGCCTTATAGATTGGCGGCAAGGTCTCATCATTTTGCAGTTGAAATGGCTATATGTAACCGTAAGTTCTATGCTAACAGTTTCTTCTCTCTCACGGTATTACATCCACGGCCTTATAGATTGGCGGCAAGTTCTCATCATTTTACAGTTGAAATGGCTAGATGTAACCGTAAGTTCTATGCTAACAGTTTCTTCTCTCTCACGGTATTACATCCACGGCCTTATAGATTGGCGGCAAGTTCTCATCATTTTACAGTTGAAATGGCTAGATGTAACCGTAAGTTCTATGCTAGCAGTTTCTTCTCTCGAACTTCTCGCTCGTGGAACACACTTCCCATTTCACTCCGACGAAGTCAATAAAGCCACTAAAATGCAAGTGGTTACTATGTGTGATAGAATTGTGTGCAATAAAAGAACATGAAGTAAGAAAAACAAACGATAACGATTGATATTGCAATCAGATTTTTGAAGATCAAAATAAACTGGAAAGCAAGAAGCCAGAAAAGAGTTTCACAAGCTAGAAATGCGATCGAAAAAAAAGTGTTAGCATTGGACATACGTCTATATCTAACCATTTGAACTGTATAATAATGAGATCTTGGCACCACTCCCATACTACGCTTCAATTCATGAAATACAGGAACCAAAGAGTGAAATCCATTAAAAAAAAAATAACATGAAAATATTTATATTAAAAGCAGATGGAAGCTACTTCATAGCGGTGGGAACTTGATTAAAGCCGTGATGCAAGGTCAGAACTAATAACATTGCAGATTCTTTGAAGTTTAGCAAGAATCCTTAATTACATAGCAGAAGCACTAGACCAGATGGGATAGCACTATTTAATTTATGGATGAACGGTAGACATAAATGTGTAAGCTAGATTTTGACGAACCTACTTTACGAGCAGTAGACCAAAAAATTGATTCTATATAATTTTCCACATCTTGTAAGCGGAAAAAGTTTGCTCGAGGATGCGCAAGGTGCTACCTTCCTGGAGGTTAGCATCAACCAATGCTGGTCGAAGACAAAAATATGGTTCTCTCTGTAAAGTAGGATTCTCGGTGTTCCCACCTGCTGTCAATATGCACTGTGAATGTTCAATTCGTCAGGAATTCCTTTTTTTTTTAATAAAATCTGTCCAATATAAGGCATTGGAACCACTCAAAGAAGAGTTACTTGGTTAGGTGCTTAATATTAAAGGAAGAAGAAAGAGATGAATTTTATCAGCATAAAGAGGAAAGATAACGATTCAGCTTTTACCTTAAGAGGTTAAGTATATATTGTTCAGGGAAGAAACCTGGTGGACATTTTGGTAAAAAAAAAAGACTCTTTCAGTGGAACATAGTAGCAATGAGGATGATTCATCTATTTCTTTATTATTTGAGATATATATAGAACTGTTATGGATAATAATTTAAACTTCATATCACTGTATGTTCAGATTTATTGATGGGCAGAAAAAGAACGATAGAAATCACGAAAAATCTGAACAGGGATCAAAATACAAATATTAGTTAAAAATTAATCATCTCGATAGCAATATTCCCCAAACAAGGCTTGATTTTAACAAAAACAATCTACATATATTGAACTAAAGAACGTTGGAAAAACTTGCAAGCAGTTAATGTGTGTCATAGTTTAATAGGTTCAGTTGTAGACAGCCAGTGGTAAGCAACGCACAACCTGCCTGGCGAGGCCGCGGCTTGATCCAATGGATGGCGGAGCAGGGTTTGGGAAAGATGGCAAAACGTCAGAAGTTACTAAGAACTACAAAGGAAAAGAAATTAGGGAGGACCATGATCGCCAGCGTCCTGAATGGACACAGCACACAGAAGAATACGAAACATTGCTCATTAACGTGTGCCCTTTTTTTATCAAAGTGCTAAACGTAAGGTCTCTGATATTTTTTTTTTAATGTCACGCCGTTACTTCACGGTTTACGACCATATCACGCTGATACACCAGTTCACGAAGATCACCGAAGTTAAGAAACGTCGAGCCTAGTCATTACCTATATGGGTGACCGCTTGGGAATATCAGGTACTGTAAGTTTGGATGTGTGAGCGGTATAGTGGTTAATGGACAGTCGAGTTAACAATTACAGTCTGGTTCTTTATATTCACTTAAGCACGAACAGACTTGAGAAAAGTATGAATCTACCTCTTTTATCACCAGCTATGGGTTAATTAGTAAGACTTTTATCAGTAAGTCATTATTGTTTCCAAAGAAAACGCTAACAATTTAAAAAGGGTTGATAATTTTTAAAAATCTAAATCAATCTTGGGATTCAACCGCATGGCATTACGTAAAGATTTGCGAGAACAAGATTGCCAACAAGATTGCTAACAAAGGCGCTATGGCCTGATGTGTTGGTGGCAACTTATGTAAGAAAAATCTTGAGTTCCTGGCTTTGAAGAAAACAACAGGAATATATGTTAGTATTTTTCCTAAGAAGTAATTACAATTCACATATATTCAAAGCTTACTGGCATGTCAATTTGAATCCACCTGATTTCCCTCTACCAATGGGTTAATTATTAAGACTTGTATCACTAAATTATTATTATCCAAAAATGATGCATTTTTGTCATATTTGGGCGGGAATTGCACAGTCCTCACTTTCCAGTCTTGTTCAAAAGCGTCTCCAAGCTTTATGGGTGACAAATTATTTTCCCCCCGATAATCTATCTCTCAAAGACGGAATGAGGCGAACCTCTTAACTGTTCTATCACTACTTCCACGGACGAACTACTTTCCTAGGTACCACCAGGACTAACCTTGACAGCTAGGACCCGCCATACCACTTACAAAGTAGCAAACCACCAACATTCCTTCCTGAATAAGAAGCAAGTTCCAATCGAACAAATTCTTCCTGACAAGAGGGTGTTTCCCTGTCCACTGCAATCTTAACCTGTTTATGTCTAGAGTCAACCGGTATCTTCTCTTCCTATCCGTATAAACTACCACTTAACGTCACCCTCTACCTTGACTAGACATCTGACATTGTACAGGGCGAGCCTTACCTTAAAACAAAAAACATCTAAAAAAAACATCCTGGGTTTCAATAACATGCAAATGCTTGATAAGCTGTAAAAGAGCAAAGGAAATCAACCTTAACTTTTTCCTTCACACACGGCTGTAACTAAATAAAGCTTTCGGGTTATGTTATTTACACACTAGTGAAACGTAACCGTTCTATTGTTGACTGAAATAGGCACTGAAGTTGTTTAGAAAAACTGACAAACTTTTACTTTATCTTATACTAGCAGTAGAGCCCGGCGTTGCCCAGGGATGTAACAGTAAGAGATAGATCAAGTATCAACCATCATAAAGATTGAAAAATAAAATTGACAAAGATTATTGTTTAAGGTTGACAGACACGCATATCTTAATTAGTTTTTTTTTTTTTTTTTTTTTACGAATTGGTCAAACCCAAACTCAAACAAAAACATTGTTTTCAATCTTTATGAGTCTACTGATTGAATAGAATTTTATTATAAACAATTGTCTTGTAAATGGAATTTTTTAAGCATTCTGAATGTAAAAATAAACAAAAAAGTGTGCAAGACAATAAGAAACACTACCTGCCAAAATAAAGTGAAGTTTTGTTGAAATCAGTTGAAAAATGTAGGAAATCCGATCCCATATATAAATGAACACACACATACACACACACAAACAACCTGGGTTTTATAATAAGTATAACTCCATATGAGTTGTCTCCCTTTCATTCTCGACAGCGATGCCTCTTAATCGTGTTTTCAAATTGATTTCGTGCAAAAACAATTGTATTTTTCCAATTTTTGGCGCTGTCAGAACCACCGCAAAGTAATTTTACGCAGTCCTGTGAAGTTTTGTTGAAATTGGTTGAAAAATGTGGGAAATCCGATCCAATATATAAACGTACAGACACACACACACACACACACACACACACACACACACACACACACACACACACAACCTGGGTTTTATAATAAGTATATGATTTTGAAAATACTATATTTTCTGGTTTATTTTAAATTTTTAAATAATTTTTTCACGAAAAATTACAAGCAATAAAGCTTCAGAAACATTTACACCGCTTAAAAGCCTCTTATTTCAAACAGCAAGTTTGTAAATACATCACAATAGATAATAAAACACAAAGTTCGGAGGTGTTGATAACAATTGTTAACAAAAGATATCTAATATGTCGGCAATATTTGTTCTTTGCGAATCTGCGCAAGTGAACGTCTTTTGTCTCAAAGACAGGAAATTGATTAACAAAGGGAATACACAACATCTGTCATATTTTGATAGCATTAATGTTACAACAAAGCATCTTTCCCCGAAAATATGAAAATAAGTTTTGAAACGGAAATTAGAAGAAGCACGCGATGGCTAAACATCCGGTTCATTTTTATTCTTTAACTAACCTACGAGTCGCTCGTCGGGCTGATTTTAGGCTAGTCCTTTCTTTGTATACGCAACCAAATTCTGTAGTTTGTTTATATTTATTTTGCATGCATTTTTTTCTCTTAAATTCACCGTTCTTTATGATTCGTTCAAATAAAGTCCCTCATTAGGGAACCCGAGCTATGTAATATTTTGAATACGTCACAGTATGCGTACCAGAAAAAGAAAAAAAGAAATCATATGAGCAACGTACTGTGCCCCACTTAAGTTTTAATTATGATTTAATTAAACGATATCAATTTCAAATAGCTACGAAAAGCAAAAGTAAAGTTAAATCTTTAATAAGAAATTGTTTTTAAAACTTTTACTTTGTTCGATACTTAAATTTAACTTTAAATGAGTTATTTTTTTAATTTTTAATTGCGTGTAACTAGAGTAGTTCCTGTGGCTTAATTTAAGTATATTAAATTACAGTAAGCGGGGAAATAAAATATTAAATCTTTTCTGTTTGCTTGACGTCCAAACTTGTTAACGCGTAGAATTTAAAATCTGACCCTCCTCATTCATGCTCCGTTTTATAGCGAATGCCGGTACCATTTCCTGACAAGGGAGGTAACCGTGGATTGCTCCAGTTACGGCCTGTTGCTTCAAGTTATTTATTATTCGCCGAGATCGAAAAACGGACGGACAGACGGACGGACGTACACTGCGCTTTATCATTATAGATATCGTGAAAAATGAAATATTTTAATGAAATATATCTACGAGATTGAGATTTTAATGGACAATATCGTACATAGGGATGGTTGTACTATGGGTCGTATTAGAATTAAGGATGTAATTTCTTCCCTGTTTTCATCTTCAGAAAAACGGGGTCGTATTATAGTGATGTATTATATTCAAGAAATATCTCTATCAGAGAGAACCGAATCTGCCTTCTGTCAGCCTGACTGACGCTGAATTTCTGAAGAGGGACTCGTTGCCCTTTTCTGACTAAAGTTCTCAGCTGAGATGAAGTAGAGAGACTACATTGGATCCATTGCTAGGTCAGCTGTTATTAAAGTTGGTTCACTGTGTCGAGCTGGACAGGTTTTTTTTTTTATCCAGAATATATCTTTTCTATATCTTATCTATCTATAAGTCTACCATTCGTCCTTGCTGAGAATATTGCTGCCACATATGGTTCGGTGCTCCTGCTATACATCTAGAGATCCTTGATGAAATACAAAGTAAAATCAGCAATATTAGTGGTCCTGATCTGGCGTCTCGGCTTCAGTCACTTTCGCAGCGTCGTAATCTTTCCCCCCGCTTTGTATTTTCTATAAATACTTTTATGATAATTATTCGGATGCGCTCTTCGTTATGGTGACTAGACGTTTTTTAAAATTTAAACACAGTACTAGAGTGGCGGCGAGGTCTCACTAATTTACAGTTGCGGTATGTAACCATATGCTAATATTATCTTTTGTCACACTTCACACTTGTGGAACTCCCTTCCGTCTCCATAATTTACAGTGGACGTTAAGCTGCAATAAATAAATAAATAAATACACTGTCAATCGCTATCTACTCCCTTCCGTCTCCATAATTTACAGTCGACTTTAAGCTGCGATAAATAAATAAATACACTGTCAATCGCTATCTACTCCCTTCCGTCTCCATAATTTACAGTCGACTTTAAGCTGCAATAAATAAATAAATACACTGTCAATCGATATCTACTCCCTTCCGTCTCCATAATTTACAGTCGACTTTAAGCTGCAATAAATAAATAAATACACTGTCAATCGATATCTACTGCCCTTCTGATTATCCATTGTTGCCCCCCTTACAATGTTTCTTTTTAACTCTGCAATAAAAACTAAATAAATATCACTGTCAATCGGGGTAAGATCTACTCCTTCCGTCATCCATAATTTACAGAATCGACCTTTACAGAAGAAAGCGTTCAATACAATAAATAAATACACTGTTTTTGTTCAATTCATTGTAATCCTAATATAGCATTCCACCTCCATAATTTTACCAGTCGACTTTAAGTTGCTCGATTCTTCGTCAACCTTTCATAAGTAACCATAAATTCCAGAGTGTCAATCGTCCCGCATCTTGAGAAATCTTGAAAAAAAAAAATCCTTCCGTCTCCATAATTTATATCAGTCGGAGAAACAGTTGTTTTTATATCCAGTGTGCCTCAATAATTTTCACTTTTAAAAAAAAAGAAAGATTGTCAATCCTCTATCTTTTTTAAGCATTCCGTCTCCATAATTAGGATGCAGTCGACTTTAGGAGCGAGAGCAGATAAATAAATAAAGGATGACGAGTCAATCGATATCTACTCCTGGAGATCTCCATTAATTTACAGTCGACTTTAGATTATAGCTCAATAAAACAAATAAAGGGTGTTCCACTGGCAATCGATTTCTACTGCCCTTCTGATTAGACGGCTCTTTTGTTCCAGTGAAAGGGGTGAGAGCAATGTTTCTTTCTCTTGAATTCTGGAGTCTGGGAAAGTAAAAACTTGTGTCTCAGTATCTTTGTAAAAAAAGACTGTCTTGCATGAGGTGACTGTAGACATGCCAGATCGGGAACTATATTATTTCCGTTCCTTGTCAGACCAGGTAAACAGAAGGTGCCCTGGACCATACATGGAA